TTATTTCCAATACATAAATGCTCTCAGTTAAAATTCTCTTTTTTGATTAAATACAAAAGATGTTTTTTATAGACATAGAAATTCAAACGTTTTTCAAAAACCCTATACTAAGAATTTCGAATTTTTTTACATTAAGGCACTTAACATAAAGTCCAGTAAGCGGATCGCTTCCAACCAATTATTCGTTTTCTTCATAATCCTATCAAATATTAATTTTCCAACACATAATTTATGTTTATTTTCATAATATTCTTCTATGCGCATTTCATATTGTTACCGTCATATTTCAAAAATTTCAATGATTGAATTTTTGCAGATCACCAGTTAAGTAGTCTTACTTAAGCTTAGTAGCTTTACTTACGTAAAAGACAACAACTTTACGAAATTGAGCAGATAAAACGACGGACCGATCGAAAGATTGTCGACCTGAGAAACAGATAAACGTGAAAATGAACGGGTAGATGGGAAGGTGAATTAATAAACGGTTCTGGATAATCTAACGAAAATACTGTTAACTAGAGGGACATATCAGGTCTAAGGACTGAGGGAAATAAATAACGGAAGAACGGACGGGGAAAGCATTCAAGCGGACAGACAAATAAAAAACAAGTTACAAACTGAAGGAACAGTCAAATGGAGAAACGTACATTTAGGAAAATGGATGAACACAGAAAGAGGCTGTCGAAAAGACAGCCTCTACTCATTGAAACCTGTTAATGAGTTTCCGTCACCATAAGGCAATTCGTTACATAGAGCAAAGCAAAAGAAGAAAATTCGTAATCCGAACTCATATAATTTGCCTGAGTGTGTACACATACTGCGGCTATTTTTATAATACTCTGGTATATAATATCGAATTAAAAATATGCTGGTTTATATGCAAATTCGCCATATCACAGAAAAGTCACTGCACTGAATCTTTCTCATAAATCTAAAATAAGATCTGAAATAAGAAAATAAAAGAGCGACGTTTTGTATAGAATAGTTGCATTAAGATTGTTATGCTCGACACGAGAACCATAAGTTTAGCCCTTCATTGTGTCAGATAGCCAACAGGTATCACATTCACCTTCTAACAAATTTTTTTAAGTTTTAAATCGGTATTTGTAGCGGATCCTTTAAATCACGGTTTCTTGCTTACTTACTTTCTTGCCAAGTGTTTCTAGCTTTATTAAGTTTTAGATTAAGACTTGATTTGTTCTCCTATCGCGGCCTTGAAGAGTTATATATTCGATTACGTGGACGGACGAATACGCTGAATGTTTCAATAAACAAAACGCCATTATTCTCCGAAGCTTACGATAGAAGAAGTAGACGCAACGCTCATCCAAGAAATAGAATCATGTGGTTCAAATTTCCGCTATAATCATATGGTCATGGACAATATTTACCGAACAGGTTCGAAGTTTACTTTCCAATTAGGCCTTAGATATGAAGATATTAAAAACACATTAAAACTTGTCCCAAAAAGTTCGTGTGAATTCAACTACAACTGTTCTGTGACTTTCGTCAAAATTATGTATATGTTTGTATATATATATATTACTATATATATATATCCATTTATATATATATATTTATATGTACGCATATATATATATATATATATATACGTATACGTAATAATCTCTTATATGCCTCACAGCGCATAATTCATGCTCAGTTCATATCTTTTCTTAGAATTGAAGCATTCTCTCGTATTTATAACGAGTGCATGTAGTTGTCGCACAAGTGTTATTAAATAATTGGAAAACTTTGTTTCATGGAAATTTTCAAATTATAAATAAAATTTTCTTTAATTTGTGCTGAGTATGTACATGTATGTGCGCGTGTGTTTATTTAATTGATTGTACGGAAGCTCTCTCTTATATTTTGAACTCTTGCAAAATTTTGTAATATGTTTTTATTATTATTAATATCTCTTCTACTTCAAAAATTACTGCAACTGCAATAATTCATATTCGTACCGTGTTATGTATGTATGTATGTATGTATGTAGGTATGTATATAAACATATATAAATATATGAGCAAGTGCATTAGTGTGTATGCGTAAATTTATAAAGGCTCGTGCTCGATGCCATAACGTTAATATAACAACCTGAAGCGATCCCATTTAATGTTTTAAGGATTTCTACATAAACGCACTTACGTAGCAAATACATAAACACATAATAATAATAACATATATACGCTCATGTAATGCATGTTTGAATGCATTACAAACATACAAGTTTTGTGTGCATCTATCATAAATTAATGAAACAATGACACACACAGTCTTTGTATGCGGTAAATATATGACTTGTTCCTGTCATAACGTTATGTATGTATTAATGTGTAAATTCATGTATGTATTAATGTATGTAGGCATGTTTTCTTCTTTTTTTTTTTTTTTTTTAATGTACATTTATGATATGTGTGCAAATGTTCGCATACGTAAGTATGGATAAATACGATATTGTGTCTGCAGTTTAATTATATTTTGTGTGAGGCAAACAAAATTTTTGCAAAACAAACTTTTACAGCGTAGAACATGAGAATAAGGAAAAGTAAATAAAAATCAATACCATTACAAAGAAAATGCGCTCGTACAAAATGAAAAAAAAAACTACAAGAATTAGTTTTTTTTTTTTTATTTTCAAGAATTATGACAGTGAATACCTCCTAAAAATAAAAGAAACATATTCAAAATCCGAAAAGTTAAACACGCACAAGCGTGCATGTATTCACCTAAAATCGTGGACATAAGTTCGGGAACAAGTATGAAAAGTTATTCGTCCAAACTTTGGAAATGTCTCGATAATGTGCTTTACTTGATAGCTTAAATATTCAATTAACTATATGCAGAAAAGTATATCATAAAGGCAGAAGAGTTTTCATATCATCTGAAGTTTAAATTAATTTTATCACGTCATATGCAGCTCTTAGATGTACGCACTAAAAATCATATGAAATATTGTAGAGAGTAATTTGAATGAATTATTGTTAGGAAAAAAATATGTCCAACTCAAAAGCGGACAGATCAGAATGCTGTGGGCGGATAAGACAATAACTGCGGTCCAAGCTTATGCCTATCGCAGAACATATTCTACTCTTTCCACTCCAAATGGACAATTTCCTCTTTCATTTAAAAATTAGCTTATTCGAGAATAGAACAATTATTAAAAAAAAAAAAAAACGCTAATGCAAAAAAAGCTAAGACGTTTAAAAGATCAACTGACGTAGCCAGACTACGCTCCACAGAGTATATATATTTAAAAAAAAACCATTCTAATTTCTGCCTGAATGTTGGATGAGAACACGATTCCGATCGTAAATTTTTCTTGAGAAGAACAAACTAGGCCCCAAAGAAATAGCATGGGAATTTCAGATCAAATGGAGATCAGGAACAGTACAAAAAATCACGGTCGAATTGAATTGAGTCTTTCAAAGAGGACTGCTTAGGTAGGATATTTAACGGCGTATACAATATATGGTACAATATATGGTAATTCTTAGTTTGGTTGAGTAGCAGTAAAACGGGCTAAATCTTTTTCTTACTTTGCGTTCAGTTAAGGATCCAAGCACCGATCTACAAAACGGATTATTATACCAGTTCCGCATTCTTTTTAGATACTAATTTTCTTTGCGTCTTCCACAACCAAGAAATGTGAAATTTTCAAATACGATAAGCTCATGTTTGCAGGAGTAAATGCGCAAATAACAATCGTGTCTACGAAATCAGTGTTCGCGGGTTTAAATCTCAGGTGCGGTAGAGTTAATTAATTCTGACCGTAGCTTAGTGACTACTCAGTTGATGAGTACACTTACCGATTGTGCATACATCCATTAGGCTGCGGTTCGTGTCAGAGGCATCCTCTAAGTGATTAATAATATTTAAAGAAAGGTAAGTCTGTGTTATAAGCAACAATGTTAACGCCGCTACGAAAATGGTACAAAAGATTGCGATTCGTGGAATACGATCCTTTATTTCGTTTAAATATTTCGGTTTAGCCCGTCGATAATTGCTGTCATAATCAGATTTGCAGATTCGGATTTCGCTCATCCAGCGAGGAAACATTTAAGGCTTAGCGTCTTAACCCAAGTGATCAAACTCCGACTCGTTGCTTCAAAGAACTCGTGCCCTAACACAATGGAATGCATTTGGTTTTTTCATTAAACGTTCTTTGATGTGCTTATCGCGAGAATTAAAGTTGTCGGGACAAGCCGGTAGTAAAATTATCATAAATGAAATTTGGGTACTATTCAAAAATTTGGATAGTTGTTAAAGCATATGCTGAACTATGGTTAAATGTAAAGTTTGACAAGTTAAGTTGTCAAAAAAATTTAGAGCACATGTCACGGCGTCAAGCTTAAAACAGGGAAACAAAAATTGTAAAAGGTATTTTTTCTTATCAATTTAATGTACGCGTCACGTGGTACCTGCATTTTCCAGATGTTATTCTCTCATCATTGAAAACATTTGAAACATATAAGTAGTTGACGTAGATTTTCACCTGAATCTTTTAGGAAATTTCTAACGAAAACGAAAACCTGTCCATCTCTTAAATTTAAGTTGTTTTGAGCTTACTTTGCTACGCCTATTAGTACATCATCAAAATTGATGGATTATCCCGTGGACATAGCGTCCATTGTAAGTTTAGCGTGTGCTATCCCGTGAAATAGTTGAAATACGCAGACATGCACTGTAATCATTTCACTATATCATTTAAAAAGTCTCTGTCGCAAATTTTTCCCTACATTTTCTTATCACATTTATGTGCACAGTCGTAATTGCATATATGTACCATATCTGCATGAAATACCTAAACTATTTACAAAGATAAAATCTTAACAAAATGTTTTGCAAATATTGCGTGTGGAATATATTGTTGTTGTTGTTTTTGTTGTTGCCGTCGTTGTTTTAGAGTTACAAACAACTATATTTCTCCGTTTGTTTTGTTTGTTATCGTTTATACGAATCTCGTTATTTTATATGTATTTTACTTATTATTTCAGAAATTATGAAGGGTGGAGCGCAGTGATGGCGCTGTAAAAAAAGGTTTCGTGTATGAGCAATAGGTGCCATTAATATGATTTAGGGTCATTCAAGGTACACACATCATATATCATACATCAGTAAAGTAAGCACATTCTAAAGAGTGCGCGTATACACACAGACACAAACATCTACACTAATAAACGGATTTTCGTACGTACATATGCGTACGTATATATGCATGTACATACGTATACCCACATATAAAGAATATAAAAAAGGACAGACACCATGTACGTGCAAAGATCAAATGTTCAACAATTATGTTTTACGTATATAAAGAATATCCAGAGAATTCTAATATGAACGAAGCCAATCAATTATGAGTGTCAATTTATGTGGTGTTGTCCTATCTCTTGTCGTCATTTGGTAACGGGCAACAGTTGAATACCGCAGCAATATGATTTTAACAATTTACCATCAACAACATCGCTTAGGATGCCATATTAATATGCAGCTTTTACTCTTAATACTGTTAGGTAAGTCGCCATATACACAATATGTATATATATATATATATACATACATATACATATATATATTTATATATATATAATATGTATATATACATATATTTCAATCTTACTGAAACTTTTGTTTTCGTTTCATTTTTACGTAGAAATGCGCACTATATATGGAGATGTTTCCTCTCATTACTGGGAAAGTCCGTATTCGCAACCGTACTTTGACAATTCCTCACGCAGGGAGGTTACCGCAATTGTAGGTCAAGCTGCTCTCCTACAGTGCCGAGTCAGAAATTTAGGAGATAGAGCTGTAAGTAATGGCAAAAAGTGCATAATTTACGTACATGGTATGCATATACGCAGGCACATGTTCTACCAAGATTTGTATTCTGTTGCAAAAAACTTTTGTTACATGCTCTTTGTCTTTTTTTTTTTTGTGTTCTTTATACCTATCATGCCAGTAAGGAGGTACACTATCATTAAAGAGCCTATTAAATCAAGGGATCACTTGTTTGTCCTTCGTCTATAAGTAGATCTTTGCTTTTCGCCACAGACCAAGTATGAAACTGAACAAAGTCAACATTAAGTTTGGCGCACGATGATATTAAAAAAACCCAAAACAGTCTCAGTTAAGACCAAATGAAATGTTTACTGGTAATGTCCTTAGATTCGCTTCCAAGCAGATTCAGAAATGTAGATAATGGAATTACAACGTCTTTATATGTTTTTTTATTGCTCCCGCCAGAATAAGTTTAAAATTCAGAAAATCGATGATTGCTCTAATAGATGTTAAACAACTAATGATTTCGTCTCTTTCCTCAGCTAGCACATCATCAATTTTAGGTTTTACGTTTAGAACTGTAAGTTACTATTGCGTTTTACTTTAAAAAAATCTTTAATTAAGAAATGATTAGATAGGATCGATTCTCATAATAACCACAAAAAGGTATATGTACAAGGAAAAGGAGCTCAGAATGTTTTTTCCTAATGGAGACTACATATAAAAACACATTTTCAAATATGTAGCTTCTTGCCTTAGCTTTAACATGCAACAAACATTAGGATATGTGCAGGAAAAGAAGGAATTCCAATCCGGCAATTATCGATTTTGTTCCGCGTTTCCAATGACTTTTTCTAATGAGGCGAATTGTATACGACTTTAATCCAATTTTTACTCTCTATTACTAGCTAGCCAGCTAGTCGTTTTGACATAGCTACGCTATAGTGGGTCGGGGCACACCGTAACGGCCTATAGATCACCCCACAGTTTGTCAGATAACCAAATAGGGCGTTGCATGGTAGGTGGTCGAAAAAGTGGGCCGATTTCCACTTCAATAATCAACCAACCAATGTACCAAATTTCTGCCCGACAAGCTTAGGTCGATTCAGAAGGTGGTTCTCTGTATCTCAACCTCTTCTGGATGTTGCGTACATCTGCGCACACTTAACCTATACTTGTGTGAGAAGTGGCGTGGGGTACGAAAAGTCGTAGAAAGCAGTCATATATATACATTTAAAAGCTCCAGGCACATTTGATCTGTGTATTGCACAATTCTTTAAGAGATGCTTAAAAAATTTTCTTTTTGAGAATAGTTTTAAGATGGAAGAAAAGGCAGTAAAATAATAATATCCGAAGAGGTTATCAATCCTGCACTTAAGTAATTAAAAAAAATTTTTTCACATATATAAACAAGAAAGAACATTATACTATCACGAGGCAAGGATTAGACAGCACTTCGTATAATACAGTTATTCACACGTTTTGATAATGACACAACAAAAGTTACACATTATTTTCAAGCAAAGGCATGCATACGTTTCAAGAAAGTCAGTATGTTGGAGTTATTCTTACATGCGGTGATATCCAAAAAATATACCTACAGATTTTCATTTTAATTTAGGTTTCCTGGATACGTAAAAGGGACTTACACATATTGACGGTGGGCATACTGACCTATACAAACGATCAACGATTTCAATCTTTACACACAGAAGGCTCAGACGAGTGGACCTTAAGAATATCGTCGCCACAACCTCGCGATTCGGGCACATACGAATGTCAAGTGTCAACCGAGCCAAAAATCAGTCAAGGCTTTCGTTTAAACGTAGTCGGTTCGTATTTTGGTTATAATAGAAAAATTTATAAATAAATTTCCATAATTCCGGTATTCTTTTCAGTGTCACGAGCGAAAATTCTTGGTAATCCGGAATTGTTTATAAAAAGTGGAAGCGACATTAATTTAACTTGTTTGGCAATGCAATCGCCTATACCGCCTTCATTTATTTACTGGTATAAAGGTAAACGTTTAATGAATTATTCTCAACGTGGCGGCATTAATGTGATAACGGAACGTACAACACGCACTAGCAAGCTGCTGATATCAAAAGCAACATCGAACGATTCGGGTAATTACACATGCTCACCAAGTAGCTCAGGTATGTTAGATATAAACCACGCAATGTATAGCAGATATAAAATTTCTTTTACTTCGGTTAATCTAGACTCTGCTTCTGTGGTAGTTCACGTTATTAACGGTGAGCATCCAGCAGCAATGCAACATGGCAACAACAGCGCCAGCAGCCAAACACTATTGCTTAGTAAAACTTTACAACAACTGTCCCGCAATACAGTAGCAGCATTTTTCAGTGTTTCCGCGTTATATCATTTGTTACATGCATTAGTTCAAATTTTCGCAACAACAAATTGTTATGTTGTCATTGTAGGTGTTGCTTTATCACTACAATGGCCACGACTTACACAGAATGCCAGAAGGAGAATTGTAGCCAGGTGACTGTAAGTGTTCGTCTTCAGCAGTATACGTAGAAAAAAAAAACAATTCGGTCTGTACCGGATCAAGATCTTTCACTCTGGATCAATAACTTTGCACAACTAATAATAAAAAAACAAAGACTTCAGTTCTCAATGCATGTAGCGTTCACAGACGGATGAGTGCTTGGTTATGGACTTGTAGAAAGACTCGTGTACCAGACAGTAGCAGCACAGTTCACGGATGCTCGGGATGTAAAATTTGCATTTGTTTATATTGTTCATAGTTATAAAAAAAAAGCAAGAGAAAATACTTATGACAGAGATTTAGTATAAGTTTTAAGATTTTAAATTATGTAAAACATAACGGTTAAGTAGATAAAACTCTTTAACATAATAACGCATACCGTACGTATAATAAAGAAATGAACAACTTATGTAAACAGATCAGCAAAAGGTTGACATTTTTTTTTAGAAGGGATCTTTAAATCCGTTTGAGGTTAAGTATTACTAGGTAGGCGATATCGATTCATATTTAATTGGATATAAACTAAAATGATGCTTTTATACTTTTTTTGCTAGCACGCAGCAAACATTTGCACAAACTAAAAACCGTATTTACATGCCCCGCCTCATCAATATGTTGGTTTTTTTCTTGCGAAACTCGGCCATTACCGCACCCAAACGCATATAACGCGATTAACTAATTATCTTTCACATCAGAAAACCAAGAAAGAAGTATGTACATATTTTTATCAATCAACGTCGGCTTGCGTATGCTAACAACGCAATAAGCTTACACTCATATGCATAAATGCATCAATTTTTTTTCCTCTCCAACTATTTTTTCGCAATTATTCACTTCGTACAACTTCTTTGTGCACTTGTAAAATGGCTTTGATCTCTCCCTAAAAACCGTTAGCTGGTTTTTTCCTCTACAAGGTTTATAAAGAAACTACCCTATGCGGAGAATGGAGAGACCACAGAGCTGCTTTCAATAAATTGCAACGCTTCGATTCCGTTATGCGACTGAGAATAAACTGAATAAAGTAGTATAGTGTGAGAGAGCTCGAAGAACCATCGCTGTGAAAGTGAGCAATCGAATCGAATCGAGGCATTTCTTCCAAATTTTAAGCAATTAAATGAATATTTCCTACACTTTACATTTTCATTGGAGGATATATCTGCACTTATAGCTGAACTCTCGCGCTATATAACAAATTTAAGTTAACATTTTTTTGATCATTAATAATTGTTTTGTGAAAATTACTTCAGATTAGATTTATACATAAGTTGAAAAACCAACAAGCATATATTGCTAATAAAAGAGATTTGGATGTTTTGACCATCTTTGGCAGCTTCAACGCTACTTTGTAGAAACATGAAATTGTCCTCCTTACCAACACCAATACGACTTAATAAGAGCTTTCTATTTATTTATTTTATTTATTTATTTTATTCCACTTATACTAGAAACTCAACTAAACAAATAACAGTCGAGTTCAATAGGCTCTTAATGCAAAACTAATATTAATTAACAATAAAATTGAGTATAAGCATAATAAAACAAATAAGAAGAAAAGAAAAAGAAAAAAAAGCATGTACACTATCAGCATAGGAGCACACTTACAACCGGTACAGGACCAAATTGCAAATGAACCGCTAAGCCATCGCAAACATGCATAAGCCTGGCAACCGATAATAAATTGACAATAATTCACTTTCGAAACGTAACGACTTTTTAAGGATAAAAGCTAGTTTAAATACGACATAGGTAACTCGCGCGTATTAAGCAATGTTGCTTTAATGGACTTTGAAGAGTCCGATAACGAGAATAAGTGGTAGACGTCATTTAGGTTCTTGCAAACGACTCTGAGCGGATTGAACAGCTCATAATTAAATTTGCACTGATTAAGCTTAACCAAGATAAAGTGCCTAGAGAAGCGGTTAGGGACATTAAAGCTTATTTCACCAAGTAATGAAGGCGAGTCAATAGCACCATTTATTACTTTGATTACAAAGGAAACGCCAAGAACAAATCTACGTTTCTCAAGAGACGGTAAGGACAGCAGAAGCAACCTATTTTCATACGGAGGAAGAGAGGCAATCGGATCCCAACCCAAATTTCTAAGGGCAAACAGCAAGAATTGCTTTTGAATCTACGTAGCACCTATATGAAGGAGACCACACAACTGAGGCATACTCGAGTATGGGTCTAACCAAACACATGTACAGACTTTTCGTAATGTAGGGATCATTAAGCTCTTTGGACCACCTTTTTATAAAACCAAGCGCGGACCTAGCTTTGCTAATCGAGAGCTCAATATGCAAGTTAAAACGTAACCTATGGTCAAATAGAACGCCTAAATCTGTAATCGAATCGACGTCCTCCAACTTATGCGAATCTATGAAATACTGAGTAATGAATGACTTTCTTCTTGAGAATGAAAGCTTCTTACATTTACTCAGATTTAGTTTCAGAACATTCACAGAGCACCATGCAACAAAATTATCCAAGTCACCTTGAAGCTGAGGTTATTGCGATTCAACAGAGAAGGAGGAAAGCAGTTTCACATCATCAGCATACATTAAGATCTGGCTGGAATTCACCACCGATGGGAGATCATTAATGTATAAACTAAATAAAATGGGACCTAAGTACCTTCCTTGAGGTACGCCAGACATAACGGGGAATTCATCCGAAGTGATGAAGTTAAACAAAACCCTTAAGGATCTATTGTGCAGATAAGAGCTTATCCATTTCAGTAAGTAGGGTGGAAAACCAGAGGCTTGGAGTTTAAAGATAAGTAGTCTATGGTTAACCATATCAAATGTTTTGCTTAAATCAGTGTAAATAACATCTGTGCGAGGGCCGCTAGAAAAAGCCTTGAAAACATGACAGGTAAACTCTAACAAGTTGGTGACTGTAGATCGCCCTTTACGAAAGCCGTGCGGAGAAATATACGAATTAATGGGAAAGGCCAAATGCTGAGTCACAATTCGCTCGAACAACTTGGGCAAGACACTCAACTTGGCTATGCCTCTGTAGTTCTCTACAAATTTTCTACTTCCACTCTTGTGGATAGGAATAAGGAAACTACTCTTCCAACACGAAGGAAAAACACCTCAATTCAAGGACAGGTTAAAAATCTTTCAGATCACACCACATAACTCGACGGCGCAAGATTTAAGTACACATGATGGATTTCCATCAGGTCCAGGCGAACAACTGTATTTTAGAGAACTCAACCCTTTAAAAACGTCATCTTCCGAAATAACCAAGTTAGGTATTGAAACCGAGTCAGTTATAGGATATGGGTAGCTTGCTGATAAATCGAAAGTAGCAATCGAAAAGTTTTGTCGGAAATACTCAGCAAACAGATTTGAGATTTCAAAATCATCCGAGGAATTAGAGCCATTAAAAGAAACATGAGAGGGATATGTGGAAAATTTTCTTTTAGAGTTAACAAATTTAAAGAAGGATTTAATGAACTGAAGGTATCTGCAGTAATAATGATGATGATGATGAGTTAAATCTATGCCTCGCCACCGAGTAAGCGACATAGTCGAGCACAGAGCCACTTTTCGAATATTTTTTGAATAGCGAGTTTTTTCTATTCTTGTGATATTTAATTGTCTTATTACACCACGGGGGACATCTGCTTCGAGGTCGACAATGCTTGATCGGAACAGATGCAGCAATAGCTAGATTTAATGTATTGTAGAACGATGGCAATAAGCTTTCAATACTACCGGTTGAGAAATCAAGCGTCAGATGTGAAAGACGATGTTTTAGTAATACAATATTGATTTTATGAAAATCATAATAATTATTTAAAAAAGGTTGATTTGGCACATTAAGACATTTCAACAAACCATCATTAATATGATGAAAGGAAATGCATATTGATGGATGATAAGGATCCTCATGAAAGCAGAAATTGAAAGAAGAAACTAAATTCTGACGTTTAAAGTTAAGCAAAAAGCATAAATTGTTAATCCTTTAGTGTACACGTTATTTATCGATAAATACAATGTTCTTTGACAAGAGCGTTAAAAATTCGATCAAGTAAAACTCGAATACAATATCAGCACTCGCCATAAGTAACAGGAAACAAAGTAACTTAATTTTTTTTGTAAGTAATTCTGAACTAGTTTTCAAATTAGTAAAATAAGCTTCAATTGTCTATCACTATTCGCTTTATTTTCCATTGTAGCGCATATTATCATGCGTGTAAAGAAAAGGAAAAATTTATGTGAGCGGATTACAAAAGGCATAAGATTATTTGAATGAATAAATGTATTATGCTTGTACTGAACACAAGCGTTTGATGCGCCACCCCAATAATAAGTAATATAATCAAATAGCCGCTTTGTTCGGTTTCGTTAAAGAATCTGGACCTGTGGATGCGGTGATTTGAGGTCTGTCCTTTTCCTCTTCAGTTTCTAATTTTGGATGGGCTTCTTCATTGACTTCTTTCAATTCAGTGGGCTGCAGTGTCACTTCACCAGATTCCTCTACCAATCGATAGGTAGCAATTGAAGGTTCTTTAGGTGGTAACCAATCGGGTATGATTTTATCATGTAAACGCCATTTTCCATACTCATTGGAAATATGTTTCTCAAAAACCGCGTATTCCAGAACATCCTTAGCAACAATTTCACTGCCGTGCATTAAGCGCCCAAAACGATCATATATGGCCAATAATTGCTGCGTATGAAAACGTACTGTAATTTGAGCGAACAAATTTTCTTTCGATATTACATCAGTCACACGTGCATGAACGACATAAGGGGGTTCCAAAGATTTTAAAAAACTCCAGTGAATTGTTTTATCTCGAACATTATGCATAATTTCGGGATAACAACGTTCGGTAACCAATTCCCGTAATTTGTGCTTATCCTTCAAAGCCATTTTTTGATGAGCTCCTATGTAAACGTCCTGAGCTGCTGCGGCAAAATCGTCAGTACTAAAATCTTCCTCGTAATTGCGTATTTTACGTACGGCCAACATACTTTTCGATTTCTTTTCAAGAAACTCAAATTTCTGCTTAGCCCCAGCCGCAGAAATTATGGACCTTTTTCCATCGCCTTCCGGGGGCACATATGCTTCAAATATACCTCCCGTGCAGCTTATGTGAAAAGGTCGCTCTAACCAAGGCCGGGGCGGCAAGACACCACGTTCCTTTAGTCTTTTCTTTAGCTCATGCTTTGGCAAATCCGAAGCTTTCTCATTTAAATTAGGTAAATCAATTTTGATGAACTTCAATTTACGCAATCGCTTGAATTTAGGATTCCAATGCTTGGTTTGGCGATGACGAATCTGTTGCGTTTGCCAAAGAGTTGGAATACCAAAAGTAGTAATCCCCGGTCGCAGAACCTACGAAGAGGAAGAGTGAAGTTAATTACATATGTTTATATTCATAAATTGTTATTAGGTACCTGCAAAATCTTGAAGCAGTGTTTAGTAGAATTAAGAACTTCCATTTTTTATACAATTTTTATTTTTAAAAACAATAGTCATCACGCAACCAGCTGACAGGCTGTTGTTCAAGCACGCAATAGCGGCTGCTTTTTTATTCTATTGCATATGAAAGATGGCAACGCCAAGATAAAAAACAAACTACGTAGGTGTCGTGATTAATGGTTTTTAACCAACGACTTACATTTTTGCAAAGGTAATTGAAAAGTTCCAATTTTTTTTTTTGGTTAAAAGAATGGTTCAGCCTGACAACGACAAATGGAGAATCTGCCGAATCTGTCTGAGTGGAGAAGTTAGACGATTATATTCGTTGCGTCTTAGTGATCATGCCTCAATAAGAGCATTAGACGATTTTGAAGATAACATTATTAGTTGCATAGAAGAAATCGGAAACATCAAGGTATATAAAAAGTTAAATATTGTCTAAAGTATACTCCAAATGAAGTACTTTTTAATTAGATTGACTTGGTGTCGCATATGCCAGATAAAATGTGTAGACGTTGTCTCTTATTATTGAAAGGTGCTTATAAATTTCGAGAACTATGTTTGAGATCAGATAAGCGTCTTAAAGAAGATTTGCAACTTAAGAAACCTTTTATTAGAGGTTTGGAAAATTATACACAAGAGGCGTCACCGGAAACACGACAGGAGGAAGAGTGTAAACAATTCATTTGTGTGGAAGAAGAGACTGATTTTGTTTGCGATAAACAAGAAGTAGTTTATCAAGTGGAAACATTGGCTGAAACGGTAGAAGATTTTGAAAATGTTGAAGAATGTGAACTAGTTGAGGAGATCGATGACTTAAATACGGAATATTTTGGTTCAATTCAGCATTTAGAAGAGAAGTCTTGCAACAAAGCTTCACGCCCAAACAATGTTATTCCTTTGCAAATCGAACCAATTGGAAACATTGGACAAGAGTTGCATGATGTTTATGTGCAAAAACTTAATGCACCAGCTGCACATAACTCGAAAGAAAACTCTAAAACAGCAACTTATAAGAAACGTAAGACGGAAACTATTAATAAAATTGTGAACTATGTTTGTTCATATTGCGGTAACATTTATAATGAAAAATCAAAATTAACAATGCATTTGAAGTTCCACACAAATGAAAAGCCGCATGAATGCGAGTGAGCATATTATAAAATACATCGCAATATCTGGTAAATAAAATTCTTTACAATTTCTAGGATATGTGGCAAACGATTTTCTATGACTCCTCAGCTAGCAAGACACATGAATTCGCATACCGGTAAACGTCCATTTAAGTGTCAATATTGTGAAGCCAGCTTTGCAGATCCCTCTACAAAGATTAAACATGAAAGGTACAAACTCGTTCCACTTATAAAACGGCATCAATAGCGGAGCCTATTTAATCACCTCTGCCTATATACTTGTCTTGTATGTCTGTTCACTGTTCCTCATTTAGACTACGCCTTCAAAGACTTGTCTAGTCTTTTATCTTATAAAATCTTAAGTCATTGTTAAGTTAGATAATCATATGAAATTATAACTACGTATTTCGCCAACAAAGCGATCGCTTTCCAAGGGTAATATCCTTTAGTTTGCAGCTTAGTGTGTCTAAGCTTTAGTCGTCAGAGAATTTTGGTTAATGTCAACGGCAACGGAACCTAAACGAGCCAGACCTTGCAGTACGTACGTTCTAATGAAATAGCAATATGTTACCATATATATTATTTCTACATCTGCTAAGGGGAATAAAGAATTGCCCTACGTACATAAATATTTAAAAATAACTTTATTTCAAATTGAGCTAGGGATGTGTGTTTTAAAATATTCAATTCCTGCGGGATATAGCTTCTAACCTAACTTTCTTTTCACATTTTGCAGGATTCATACGAACGAAAGGCCATACAAATGTAAAGTTTGCGACAAAAGTTTCGCCTACTCAAATGTTTTAAAAGTTCACATGATAACTCATACCGGTGAAAAACCTTACAGGTTAGTTCTATCCAAAATATTTGATAACATTTAGTTGTTAACATTCTGTGCGTAGGTGCAATTTCTGCTGTAAGAAGTTCGCTCAAATGCATCACAAGAACGACCACGAACGACGGCATAAACGGCTTGCTAATATATAAATATAAATAAATATAAATAAAAATAAATAAATAATGCTCTTGTCGTTAATGGGCCTAATTCACTCTTCTTTAATATACCTAACCAAAAAAAAAAAATAATAAGGAAGTGAAATATAAAAGTAAACAAACTTATTTATTAATTAGTGATAATGAAAATTTATTAAATAAAAAATTTTAATTGTTTATGTAACACCACTTATTGATGCCGTAATGCTGCTGGAGTTTTTGCGACCATGACAAATTTCAAGAATTTGATATGATATACCAATTTCTTGAAGACAAACAACATAAAAATTCAGCTCGCTTCCTCATTTGAGATAGATGTAGACCTTTTCTCATACTCCTGTAAGTATTGCTATAAGAAAATCACATTTAAATTCATTCGAATGAATTTCGATTTTATAGATAATCAGTGTATTGGATAACGTACGAAATGTCCCACTTTTATTTAAAATAGGCGTTTCAATGTGCGCGCAAATTCATTTACGAAACACGCAAATGCATATGTGGAATTTAACAGCTGCCTGCATAAACATGCAATGCACTTAAATGGAAACAAATTGCTCGTGTTTTCGACAACTTATGGGGATTACCTCATTGCATTAATTTTGCTTATTGCATGAAATTTCGAAAGTCTCGAAATTTTTTTACATCTTTTCCTAAATAATTTAATATTTTTTCTTGGGAAAACAGCTGATCATGGTTTTGCACGACCAATTTTTTGTTTATATTGATAATAAACCTGAGCACGACCAAATTAACGAACCTGGGTACGACAAAAGGTTTGTTTATAAAATGATAGTAAACCTGGGCATGACCAAATTAACGAACCTGGGTACGACAAAATGTTTGTTTATGAATTGATAGTAAACCTGGGCATGACCAAATTAACGAACCTGGGCACGACAAAATGTTTGTTTATAAATTGCTCGACAGCTGTGAATAGATGGAGAGAACAGAGTTGCTTTCAATAAGTGGTGGAAAAATACCTAAACTATTCTGCTAAATGAGAATAAGTGGTGGAAATATACCTAAACAATTCTGTTAAACCTAAATCATTCGCAATATTAATTTTGTTTCTTTCCACGATATATGTAACACCCAAAAGGAAGCTTCGGCCCCTGTAAAATATATATATTTTTGATCAGCGTGAAATTCTGAATTGATTAAGCCATGTTGTCAGCACTACCCTGGCCGCCGAAGACATCGACTTCAAATTTGGTAGAAACATGAAAAGTTTTTGCACGCAGATTTCTTATTGACAATAGGCTAAATTAGTCAGCTCCATTTTTCTTGAGAAAAATTTGTGGGTTTTAGCTCGTTACTCAGAAATTATAAAAGTTAACAAGCTGATAATTTCCATGTCTAGTTTACGAAACACTCTCACAAAAGTTGGAAAAATCGTCTATACCCGTACAATGTTCCAGCTGATTAAATTTAATTTTTTCACTTTTTTTGAGTTTTTATGCTTGCTTAATACATTATGATCAGAAAAATAAAATGTCACCAAATTTTAAGCTAAATATGTTGTTATATAATTCGAATATTTATCATTTATTCATTTATCTTTATTCTACAAAAGATTCAACGCACGGCCAGCGAAACAATATTCAACTCATGTTAATATATCTACCTTAAATTTAAATTACTCTCATATGACTATGATTTCAAATGATTGCATATAAAAAAAAAGCGAAATAATATTTAAAAACTCAGCATAGCAGTTCCCAATAAATGTGGATAAAAAAAAATAGCTGAGGTTTTCGGTAGTACGAGGAGCTTTCCACATTGCGTCGATACATTCGATGGTAAACATATAACTTTTGTTTCTCTCCGGAAATATATAGTTCCATTTATACCCACCATTCATCTCAATAGAGTTGCAAGAATAGTTTATGTTACCTTATTTTTGTTGTAAAGATGATGAAAGAGAATAAAGAGAATAGGATTTTGAATTCTTGATGTTGTTATTAGAAGGGAAGTAATGTTCTTCGCTTTTAAAGCCAAAGTTTTTCGTTGGTCAGGACAGCGCTCAGCAAAATGCAGAAGAAATAGTAAATATACAAAAGAGCGTGCAAAATTTCAAATCTTTTCGTTGACTTTTCACATACCGTGTCAACTAGTTGATCAAGGACAATTTTTGCTTATAATTGCTCTCGAGAATATCTAAACTATTAGCTTGCAAAAATTTTCAAATATGTTCCATTGAAACAAGTTGGGAGTACGTATATATAATTATCACAGCTCACAATTTTTCACAACTCTGCAGATTCCAAAAGCGAAAATAAACGGCCGACCCGATTAGACTAGGTATGGGTTTATCGGATTTTAATAGTTTTGCAGTATTCTCACTGCCC